CGGGTGTAGCGGTAGGCGACAGACGGACCTCGGTGTTGAAGCTGGCGGCTGAGTGGAGGAACAGTTCGCAGATCTCGTGCATCCCGTCGGTGTCGCAGGTGGAGTTTTCCAGACAGGAGAAGAACCCACAGCCCACAGCCACGGCGCCGTTCAGACATCGGGCCACATCAGCTGCAGCCACACAGTGTGGACATAGTTAGCTTCAGGAACAGGACTAGTACTACTAGTACTACTAGTACTACTGATACTACTAGTACTACTAATACTACTAGTACTACTAATACGACTAGTACTACTGTGTAAGTATGAAGAAACAAGGACTACAGATCTAATGAACACATTCAGAATATATTAAGTACTTGAATGTATTTCTACAGAGTAGTCATGATATTTTTTGCTTAATTATTTTACAGAGTACTGTTAGTACATTTACTTTAGGTTATGTTTCTTTACAGAGTAGTATTAGTATTTTTACAGTGCAGTATTAGTAAATTAAAGGTTACCATTAGTACTTATTATATTAACAATAATGCAGAATAGTAGCACTCTGTCTTTATAGTACTTTTACTTGAATACTTTAAAGAGTAATATTAGTTCTTTTACTTTATAGTACTGTTACCTACATATTTTTAAAGAGTATTCTGTAGTACTTTTACTGAACGTTTTGCAGAGTATTAGCACTTTTACACGAGTATTTTACAGAGTAGTATGAGTACTTTTATTCATTTTACAGTGTCGTGTTAGAACTTAAGTATTTTACAGACTTGTGTGTTTACTTAAGTATGTTTTAAGGTATATTAGTACTTTTACTGAATACTAATATTAACAACAACAAAATTAGTATGAGTATTTTAACTGAAGTATTTTTACAGTGTAGTATTATTACGTCTGCTTATGAATAATAATACTACTACACAGTAGTAGTAATAGTACTTTTATGTAAGTATTTTACAGGTTTGTACTTTTACTTAAGTATTTTTACAGTGTAGTAATGTTACTACTACTACTACTAATAATAAAATAGTAATAATAATACAGAGTACTTGTAGTACTTTAACTAGAGTATTTCACAGAGTAGTTTCAGTACTTTTACTGTAGTTTTTTTTTTAACAGTGTACTTTTACCTTTTCTAATAATAATAATACTTTAACTACTACTTTTAATACTTGTAGTACTTGTAACTATTCCACAGAGTACTTTCAGTACTTCTACTTGGGTATTTTACAGAGTAGTATCCCTATAAGTACTTTAACTTTAAAGAACATAAAAGTTCTCCTGGCCAGATCGGAACCTCGGACCGGACCCTGCGGGACTCACTGGGGCTGTTGGCGGAGAACCGGGCCCGGCGGGGAGCAGCCTCCTCCGGCAGCAGCTCGAAGGCTGCGGCGGCGCTGAGGAGGAGGAGGAGGAGCAGAGCGGAGCCGCGGAGCATCGTGTCTGGACGGAGCGCAGGAGGAGGAGGAGGACGGGCCGCTGCTGGTTCTGCTGGTTCTGCCGGGTCGCTGAGTCCGCTGGGTCTGCTGGTGCCGCCGCTTCCTGCTGCCGGTATTTATCAGAACCCGGACCAATCGGAGCGCAGCGGTGCCGCGGGGGCGCAGTTAATGTTTATTCACGGGTGTAATTAACCCACGGAGCTAATTGGATCTTTCCACACGCGCCGTGGGACGAGACGGAATTTCCGAGCAGCGGTGAACTCACGGGATAAATGTAGGTTCTGTTTTAATTGGGTTCTATTTAAAAGGCTGCAGGAAGCTCAGAGAGGCGCTTTGGATTCAGAAGAACGTCTCATTCAGACCAAACTTCCTCATTTCACAACAAATCATCACAAATACGTTAAAGTTTAGCTGAAATATGTGGAAAAGTGAACATTGAAACGTGCCTGGAGCCTAGAGCTGGTAACGTTTTGTAAAACTAATGAAGCCGAATTATCTGTTAGTAATCTGTGTTTGTAATGATCTCAATCATTTACCAATAATTATCAATAAACGACTAATATGTTGAAGAAAACGTAAAAACACGAATATTCTCAGGCAAGTTCTGAAGCGTCTTTTTTCCCTGGATCCTCAGCAGGTTTATGGACATTTATGTTGAACGGACATCACAAGTAAAGATATAAACTGAAAGTCTGAGTGACACTGAATCCAGAAGTACGTGTCTCATGTCTGTGAGTGTAGTTTTATTTCAGTTATGAGTCTAGTTTTTGACCCTAAAAATGACTTTTCCAAACTTCAACTATTCTTTAAATCTAATGTGGCCTCGAGCCAAAAAGATCAACGTGTGACAGAAGATGACCACAGACACACAAAACATCCACAATACAAGGGAAGATGACACGGATTAGGCAAAATAGCTTAAAGAAAGTAGAAAAATTACCTAAATATGACACGAAATGGGCAAAAACTAAACACAAAACCAACAAAATGATCAGAATAAGAGGCACAAAGTGAAAGAAAACCGCAAAATTAAGAGAGACGATGAGCCCAAAGAGGCAAAATAGCTTAAAGAGATGTAAAAATACTACAAGGAGCAGCATAAATTACCAAAATATGACACAAAATGGGCAAAAACTAAACTCAAAACTACCAGACTTAGATGTAAAAACGCTAAAATGAAACACAAAACCAACCAGATAAAATAAAATGATCAAACTTTGACAGAAAAGAGGCAAAACTAAATGAAAAACCACCTCAATTAGATGTGAAAACATTAAAATGAAACCTCAAACCAACACAGCTGGATGCTATTTTTTAAAAAAGAGGCAAAATGACCACAAAGAGAGAAAAAAACAACCAAATTAAGAGAGACGGTGAACAAAAAGAGGCAGAATAGCTGTAAAGAGATGTGAAAATACTACAAGGAGTCGTATAAATTCCCAAATATGACACAAAATGGGCAAAACTAAACACAAAACCACCTAAAGTAGATGTGAAAACATTAAAATGAAATGCAAAATCAAATAAATCAGGCAAAATAAGAGACACGATGATCTAAATGAGGCAAAATAGTTTTAAAGAGATGTAAAAATACAACAAGGACGAGCATAGATTCCAAAATATGGCACAAATAAAAACGCAAAACCACCTAAATTAGATGTAAAAACATTAAAATATAACACAAAACCAATAAAATTCAATAAAATTATCAAAATTTGACAGAAAACAGTTAAAACTAAATGAAAAACCACTAAAATTAGATGTGAAAACCTTTAAATGAAACACAAAATTACAGAAAGACCAAATTTACACATTAAATACTCCAAACAAAACACAAAACAAACAAAAAGAGGCACCAAATAAGTCTGAATAGTCACAAAATGATCACAAGGAGACGCAAAATTAAACATAAAATGATCCAGACTGGACTCAAACGACCATTGTTGTGTTTTTATTCTAGTGATGAGCTGAAGGCCTCATCGTGATCAAGGCTCAGGTTTGACTTTAGTTCATTATAAACGTCTGACATCATAAAATACGGAGAATTAAACCATAAAAACACTCAAACCTGCAGCGTCACATGATCAGATATCAAAGAGTTCAGTAGAATTTAACTGTTTTTCTGTTTTATCTGTAATCTGGTGTGACTTTCTATAAATAGCTGCTCGGCTGGGAAGTGGATGTTTCTAATTCCAGTCACGTCGACTGGTTTTCCTGTTTGGTGGTTCGGTGAGCGCAGCAGGAGGCGACCAGCGAGTACTCTGTAGTAGAAATACCACGACAGGAGTACAAGTACAGGCTTAGAGCAGCACTAAAGTCTGAGGGGAGGACATCAGGATCAGAAACAGCTGCTGGATGCAGTGGAAAGTACAGGATGTCCCTCAGTAGAAGTACAACGTAGCAGAAAATAAAAGTACAAATACTCACTGCAGTATTCTGTTCATGTTGTTTTCTCTTATTTCATGAGATTTCTGAATGAACTCTGGTCCCACAGAGTCCACAAACCTGCAAACTTTTGGTAGTTTGTGTCGTCTTGTGTCTTATTTTGGTAGTTTTACATTTAATTTGGATCATTTTGTGTCTTATTTTGGTAATTTGCATCTATTTTAAGTTCTTTTCTCCTTTTTCTGCCTTTTTTTTGTCCTTTTTCAGCTTTTGAAAGTTTTCTTGTGTCTCATTTTGGTCCTTTTGGGTTGTTTTGTTTCTCACGTTGCTGTCTCGTGTCTTATTTTGGTAATTTTACATTTAATTTGGATCATTTTGTGTCTTATTTTGGTAATTTTCCATTTAGTTTGGATCATTTTGGGTTTTATTTTGGTAATTTTCCATTTAATTTGCATCATTTGGGGTTTTATTTTGGTAATTTGCATCTATTTCTATTTATTTTGTCCTGTTTGAGTTATTTTACGTCTAGTTTTTGTCATTTTTTTTGTCGTTTTTCAGCTTTTTTAAGCTTTCTCGTCTCATTTCAGGTCGTTTTGTGTCTCGTTTCGCTGCAGCTTTGTCGTCTTGTGTCTTATTTTGAAAGTTTTGTGTCTGTTTATGGTCATTGTTTTAACGTTTTGTGTCCCATCAGTTGTTCTTGTTTCTCATTTGGTTCATTCTGCGTCTCGTTTTGGTCGTTTCATCTCCAGTTCTGGATCAGTTGTGTCTTATTTTGGTTATTTTCATCTCTTTAAAGTTGTGTTTTGGTGATTTCCGTCTCATTTTGGTCGTTTCAGTGTTGCTCTGCGTCTCTTTGTGGCTGTTTCATGTTTAACTTTGGCAGTTTTCTGGCTTTTTTAATTATATTTGCACATTTTTGTGGTCAATTTTTGTGTGTTGTTGTGTTTGTTTTATGTCCTTTGACGTCACTTCAGAGTTGTTTCGTCTTATTTTTATGTCTGGTTTCATTTGTTTTGGGGATTTTTGTCCTTTTTCAGCTCTTTGAAGTTGTTGATTTGGATCATTTTGTGAAATTCCTGTTTTTTGTGTTTAGTTTTCTTGTTTCTTTTCCATCTCTGTGCTTTTTTCTGCTCATTTTGTGGCTGTTTGTGGCTGTTTTACGTCTCATATGAATCATTTCAGCTCACATTTGAATAATTCTGCATCGTCTTGTGCTTCTTCTACATCTTTTTAAAGTTAAGCAGTAATTTTGTGACTTATATTAGTCATTACAGGTTGTTTAGTGTCGTTTCACGTTTAGTTATTTGCTGTTTTCTTCCTGATTTTGATAATCTTGCATCTCCTGGTGATCCTTTTGCATCTTTAAAGTCATTTTGTTCCTCGTTTTCATCTCGTGATGTAGATCATTTTAGGTCATCTGGTGTCTTTGTGCCTCGTATTGATCCTTCTACTTTTACTTTTGTCGGTTTTCTGTCCTTCTGTGATGACTTTGCGTCTCCTTGTGGTTCTTTTGCGTCTCTTTCGGGCCTGTTTTGCGTTTTCCTGCGATACTTTAGCTTCTCTTTAAAGTTCCTTCTCGTGTTGATCATCCTTTTTGTTTTAATCATCTTCTTTGTTTTTATCGACACACTGCGGCTGACGTCCTGAGTCCTGTGAGTCTCTGTCAGGTTTCCGTCCTGTGGGTTAGTTTTAGTGGAAAGCCGTCGTCCTGTGCGTGTGTCTTATCTGTTATCGGTGAGTCGTGTTGAAGCCGTCGCTGACTTTCCGTCCCTCCGGAGGCGCTGACCCTGGAGCTGACCTCGTTAGCCTGATAAACATCTCCCAGCTTCGCTTCTCATTAACTCCTGCAGCAGATTCGGCTCCGGAGCAGAACCAGGAAGAGAAATAACTTAAAGTCTGTTTGTTCAGTTTTCATCTTTATTTGTTCCCTGATTCAGTAAAAAGCATCAAAACAACAAACAAACAAACAAACAAACAAACACTGATTCTTCTGTAAACAACAACTTTATTCTCAACACATTTATTTTGTAGAATTAAGACAAAATTCTTT